CCACATGCACACCCCAGTCTCCCATGCCTCATTTACAGCTTCCAATCTGGCAGGCATCCAATTTTCCAAGACGGTCAGTGCTGTGTAATGGTTAGAGTGTCGCACTAGGACCTGGGAGAGGAGGGTTCGAATCCCTACCGGGCCCTGAAGTTCACTGGGTGACATTGAACCTCTCAGACTGCCTGCCTCACAGGTTGTTGTTGTGGGGGGTGATATGGAGAGCAGGAGAGTCATACAAGTCACCTTGAGCTCCTCGGAGGAACAGTGGGACATAAATGGATAAAATGAAATATATTTTGTTCAATAAAATGAAATGGTTGGGGGCAGGGGGTTGGCAGTTTGGTCTTAAAAGTTCTGCTTTCTTACTCCACATCATAGATTTAAGGTCAGCAACTCTTATTTTAGCTCAGTCTAGGGGTGTGCAAATCCTACCCCTTTATTTTTGCAGATAGTTCTCACTTTCCCTCATGCCCTCCACGTCCAAGTGTTTGGGATTCTCACCTGCAGAAGCATTTGACTACCGTATTTTTCGTCCCATAGGACGCTCCGTCCCATAGGACGCACCTAGTTTTTTGTGGGGGGAAATAAAGGGATTTCCCCCCCTTTATTTCCCCCCAAAAACCAGGTCGGGGAAACCAAACCAGGTTGGGGGACAGCGGTATGGCGGCGCTGCGCCTCCCTGCTGTCCCCCGAGCTTGTGGGGCTGGCCGATGTCTGCCCGAAGCTTCAGCGCGCCCCGCGCTCCGTGCAGCAGGCTGCTATCCGCAGCCTAGGGAGCCCTGCGGGAACTTGCTGATAGCTTCCTGAAGCCTGGAGAGCGAGAGGGGTTGGTGCGCACCGACCCCTCTCGCTCTCCAAGCTTCAGCGAAAGCCTGTATTTGCCCCATAGGACGCACACAGATTTCCCCTTCATTTTTGGAGGGGAAAAAGTGCGTCCTATAGGGCGAAAAATACGGTAGATCTGGGGTTCTGCTCCCAGCATATGCATCCAGGCCAGGTCTCCTAGACTCCGCTCTAGTCCTTAAAAGGCGAGTTCTCCCTGGCCTGCGGACAGAAAAGTACGATGAAGGGGAAGCAACTCAGAGGATGCAGAACCACCTGAGTGGGAAACGGTTTATAGAGGCAGCGAACCACGTGGCACATAGGGAGAGCTGAATGTTTTAACTTTCAAACTCCAAAAATGAGGCTGGCTAAAAAGTTGTAACATGACTTGGGAATTCAAAAGATATTTGGGTTAAATTAATATAGGTTAGTTTTGCTTCGTACGTGAAATGTCTGTAAAACTGCGTAGAAATCGTTAAACATTATTGCCAAGTACTGTACAGTCATATTATATATTAACATAATATTTCATTATTATTATTAATTCAATTTATACACCGCCCTATACCCGGAGGTCTCAGGGCAGTTCACAACTTTACCAGCTATTTTCAGATTAAAATTCTTTGGTTTCCCGAAAGCAGTTTAAGTGCTTCTCGATCAAACATGGACTTTCCAAGCTAAATGTTGTCCAGTCACAAAAATAACAGCAGATTCCTCACACCCAAAAATATATTTTTAAGGCCCCCTCGCCCAAGAAATTTCCAAATATTAAGCTTCACCCCTTAAAATGCCACAGGCTGCTGCTTGCAACAGGAAACTAAACAGCACACTGCCTGAGAACTGTCTCAGCCCTGATTATTTGGACTACAACTCCCATCATCCGTGACCATTGGCCATGCTGGCTGGGACAGATGGAAGTTGTAGTCCAAAACATTTGGAGTGTTGGGCTAAAGCAGGCATGGCCAAACTTGGCCCTCCAGCTGTTTTGGGACTACAGCTCCCATCATCTCTGACCTGTTAGTTAGGGATGATGGGAGTTGTAGTCCCAAAACAGCTGGAGGGCCAAGTTTGGCCATGCCTGGTAAGGGGACAAGGCAGCTCCCTATGTAGCTTAACTAACACATTGATAGGAGATGCACTACGACTATACAGGGACCAGTTTATATCATCTGCAGAACCTGTTCTTGCTTTGTAGCTGAACTAGTTGAGTCGTGTATTTTGAAGCATTTTCGGAGAGCAGATCCCCATGCATTTGAAAACTGCATTTATTTTTTGTGCAAGAGGATCTCAGACCTTTCAGTTGGGGTGGGGTAGATTTTTCCTTTAAAAACAAGCTACATGCAAAGTTTTGGTTTTGCCTGTTCTTAGAGAGAAACTTGGTGCAACTGCTTCAAGCGGCAGCTAGACTGCCCTCATCAAATCAGTGGCATCTCCTCCTAATTCAGGGCAGAATGCCCCCTGGGAATGATGCTATGTCCTGTTCCCAGGAGCGCTGGGCGAGGGGACCAGCAGGATAGAGATGGCTTCTCCCCTTAGCTGCAGTCTTTCAGAAAGCTCTTTGTCTTGCAATTCCAAGAACCGATCTGTCTCTGAGGTGATAGCCCCCCACACACACTTTTTTTAAAATCAGCAAACTCACAGTGTTCAGCCCATTCATACCAAACCCTAAGAAGTGAACTCAGCAGTTTTTCCTGGTTCCCGAGCTCTTTGAGTAGGTCCTTTTTGTAAGCTGCATTCCTCCTAGAAGTCAGACTTTGCCAGAACAGTCTCGCGGGGCGTTTCCAGACTTATTTCCAGGCAGGATTCAATCACATACTGTCAAATTCATGTTGTCCAGTTAATGCTGATCTGGCGCTCTTGGTAATCCATATGCTTCCTTTCTTTTTGCAATAAGTGACAAGAAAATGAACAGGAAAGTTTGGGGTAACAGTTCCATGGCACAATTTGGCATAGCATTCCTGCAAACGAATTGAAATGAATGCCCAGTAAATAGGTGGCATGTCTATCCTCCCCTCCCCCCCCAAAAAAAATTGCAAAAAATAAAAATAAAAAATCAGAATGAAGGCTCAGTATTCAGGTCATCTGAAAGTGAACATAGTTAACACTTATGGATCTTTTCAGCAAAGAGGAATAATTTCCAAATGTTGCAAGATTCTTTCTCCATAGTATAAAGGACTGAACTTCCTTGCACTGTTCCTTCTTCATTGTGGAGCTGTGTGGATAGGCAAAGGAATGTTTTCCCCCTTCCAACTCAGGCCATTCTGCAGGATTATTAAAGTCAAAGACATCCAGGCACAATTCAAAGTGTTGGTGCTGACCTTTAAAGCCCTAAACCGCTTCGGCCCAGTATACCTGAAGAAGCATCTCCACCCCATCATCCAACCCAGACACTGAGGTCCAGCTCTGAGGGCCTCCTGACAGTTCCCTCACTGTGAGAAGTGAGGTTACAGGGAACCAGGCAGAGGGCCTTCTCAGTGGTGGCACCCGCCCTGTGGGATGAATGCTCATTTGCCATATCACCACCCCACAAACAAATCGGAACCAATGTTCAATAAAGACCCATCATAGTCTAACCTCTCTGTAAGCTTTGTGCAAGCAAATCGGGATGAATACTAAATAAATAGGTCCTTTGGAGGAACCCTTGTGGATTGCAAGACATGTTTCTCCTTTGCCAATGCCCATACCTCTGCAATTTTGGAACTGGTGTTCAAAAGGGTGAGAATGCAATTCTTTTAAAGAATATAAAATCCCAGATTCACTTAAATAACCCATAGGTATAAAAACCACCCTAATTCCAGTGACGTACATACCCCCAGGTAGTAACCTCTAAAAGTACAATCTGAGAGGCTGCATAAATCCTTCCCCTCTCAAAATTTGTTCCGTGCTATATGAGTTACTGCTTTTGAATAGCAGCGCAGCTTCCTGATCTGACACCAGCATGGTGTGTTTTTCCACTCAGAAACTGTTCCTTTTGATCACTTGCCTTTCCAAACACATCCACACATATGGCTTTTGTTTGCTTCCTTCGGAAGCTTCAGTTACCTGGTCAACAGCAGCCTCTCGCAAATGCTGCTTTGGCACGCTGCAGTCCTGGAGCAGAAAAGGTACAAGTTATTTGCAAATAAAGGAAAGGATTCAAATGTTATCATGGCCCTGTGCAGGTGTAACCCTAAATCGAGGCTATGGGCTGTTGTGACATCATCATTCACAACACGGTGGCATCACAACAGCAAGGGGGAGAAGGGGAAACTCCAGGCAGGACTTCAGTTTTTGACTGTTGTGACATCATTATGCACATGATGACATCATAACAGTAAGGAGCCGGGAAGGGGGGACTTCAGACAGGAGTTCCGTTTTTGACAGTTTCCCCATATTGTACATAACATAAAATTCCAATGTCATGTCAAAGACCTCGGTCAGCTCAGGGCTACTTAAAAGATCTTAGATGGTGAATTTGAGGGAGACCTTTGCTTGTGACCTCGGAAAGCCTCTGCCAATCACAGCAGCCAGCACTAGAGGGGCCAGTCACATGACCCCATATAAGGCAGTGCCATCTGTTTTGGTGCAAAAGTCTAGGTCAATGGCAGTGCCATTCGGGCTTAAGAAGGAGGAAGATCTCTATCACTATATAAACTATTATTCATAATAGAAGTTGAATAGTAGCTAAAGAGCAAACACAAATGTAGGCTGGAGAAGGGTATTATTCAGTGTTGGGCTGTTGTTGTTATTGTTGTTGTGGATTTGAAGCTAGCACTGAAAATAGCCTCCTGCAGCCTGAGAGGAGCTGCAGAATTTACTTCCATTAGATGACTAATAGCAGACAATCTTAAACCTTTCCCTTTAGTATATTGTTTTGGCTTCCTGACAATTCTGTTCTCTCAAGGGACATGTAAATACAAGCTCTTTCCCCAGGAAGATTAACTAATAAAATATCCTGCTAGTTTGCAGAATATCTAAACACACACACAAATGTACAAATTTTATTCAAGCGTGCCCTCCTCCGTATTTTTGTTCTGGTTTTTTGGCACTCTTCTCCCTCTCTCTCTTCCTCTCCCTCTCTCCACACACACACACACACACACACTTCAAAAAATGACCTTCCAGAATCAGAGGCAGTGGCAGCCAATGGCAAGGGAATCATGGAACTATAGAGTTGGATGAGATCCTGAGGATCATCTAGTCCGACCTCCTGAAATGCAGGACCACACAGCTGTCCCATATCGAACCTGCAACCTTGGCATTATCAGCACCACGCTCTAACCAACTGAGCTAGCCAGGCTGCTAAACCAGGAAGGTATTCTTCGCTCATCACATACCAGAATTGGCTCACACAGGATGTAGTGATCGCCACCAGGTTGGACAGAGTCAATGGCTTAGACAAATTCGCGGAGGGTCTAGCTTCCAGCGGCTACTAGCCACAATGGCTAGGTTCTGCGTCCAAGTAAGAGGAAGCTATTTTCCTCTGAAGAACAATTAATGCATTCATAAGCATTAGATTCCCGTTCCTGGCTTCTGTATCCTGTTCTTGTTGTCAGTTTTTATTTTATAAAATATTGCCTGTCATTAACAAATTGGATTTTTTTTTGGAGGGGATGGGAAACCTGAGCTTTTGAGGGCAGTGGAACAACCAAGAAGCCTCCCTCTGCTGAGCTTAGAACCCGAGGAGATCTGTAGAGAACGAGGAGAGGTACAGTTGACTATCAAATTGCACGAACAAGGGCCAAAATAATGTATAGCCGAAGGAACCTTTTAAAAACCGTAAAAGCCATAGGACTGTACTTGCCACATGCTCCCAAGGCCGCTACAGGTTCTTCCTGTACCTCTGAACGCTTTCCCAGGGTGAGCGCAATTGTGAGTGGGATTGCCAATGTTTTTTCCCGGCTCTCCTTCCCCCTTTAAAGCATTTTTACTTCTGGGCCAAGCACATGAAGCCGCGATGCACATAAGTTGCAAGTACAGTGGTACCTCTGGATGTGAACGGGATCCGTTCCGGAGCCCTGTTCGCATCCTGAAGTGAACGCAACCTATGCGTGCACTGGTCACAATTTGCCGCTTCTGCGCGTGCGTGTGACGTCATTTTGAGCATCTGCGCATGCGTGAGCGGTGAAACCCGGAAGTAACGCGCTCCGTTACTTCCGGGTTGCCACAGAGCGTAACCTGAAAACGCTCAACCTGAAGCACATTTAACCCGAGGTATGACTGTATTGTTATTTTTAGTCAATATATGTAAATGGCCAGTGCTTTTTTCCTAAAAAAATGTTTCGGGGTACTCTCATTTTCCTACTCATATTGAAATACTGCCCCTCAATGAGGCTAAACTTGGATTCACAAAATGTTTAGGGGTATGCGTACCCCCGTGTGCCCCCAGAAAAAAAGCACTGTAAAAGGCAATTTGTGTATTATGCAGCTTGCGCACTTAAGGGAAGCTAATCATCGTCCGATATCTGGTTTTTACATCACATGCTTTGAAAGCATGTCTAATAATTAACATGCCAGGATATGACATGATAACAAGGAAGCAGATATAATGCTGATCATTCTCTTTGGGGCAAGATATATTTGGACAGTGCTTCAACAACAGAACATTAATGTATAGATATCACTGCATATCTTTTTTATAAAAAAAAATTGTAGAAGCTAGAGCAGCTCATTCACCAAGCAAGTAGTACTTCCTGTGGTCTATGGAAAACGTATCTGTTTTATCAGTGCTATTAAAAAAAGGAGCCAGATGTTTAAGGGGAATATTTTCCATGTGGAGAGGAGGGCACAAAGCTGTGAAACTTTATTTTTTTTAAAAAAAAGAAAAAAACTTCCAAGCTGCTGTTATGGAGAAAACAGGAAGGCAACTTCCTCTCTGTGTGCCTACAAGGAGGAAGCAGCAGGCAAGTGCTTAATGAGGATGTCAGATAGCTTAATGAAGATGTCAACCCAGCAGTGAAAGGGGCAATTACGTAGTTTGTTAAGGGTGCTGGGAGTTGTAGTTCTGTGAGCGGCAAACTACAGTTCCCATGCTTCTTTGGAGGCAGCCATGTGCTTTTAAATGCACTTCAAGTGCAGGTTGGGTACACAAACCATATCTAACTTCCTGATTGTGTCGCTGAATAGACAGAAAATCGGTTTGAACTTCAGAAGCTGAAAAGGCAAATCCTGCCACTGCTAATATTTGAAGGTTTTGTCTGTGCTCAAATTCCACTTTCGCTCCGGCAGAAATCCTCAGCCCACTTATTGGATTTAGTGGGGTTACTAAGGAGTAAATGATATTCGTCCTTTCCTCCCGCCTAGGCCCATGTGTTCAGCTGGCATTTGGAGGCATTAGCTGTCTTGAGAATGTCTACATGCAGAAAAGCTCCCACAGAAATGGCTTTTTAAAAAAAAAAAAAAAATTGAAACCAGCTGAACAAATCTGTAGGAAGTTGTACCGGGACAAGTGAAATGTATACTCTCGTTCCTAAGGAAACACAAATATATTTAAAGCACACTATTTCACATGAGAAGCGCTTCCAGAATGCACTGTTAGGTCCTAGTTTTCTCCCGCATTCAAGTCCGCAAGAAATTCTCTTTCAAAAATGAAGCAACAAATACGTTTTGTGACTTCAGGTTTGGAAGAATGGAGAGATAAACATTTTGCCATTCTACGCCACTTACCATGTACAGTACGTGAGTAGCAGACTCATTTATCTGAGTGCCAGAGTTTGTAGCCAAAATACAGTGGTACCTCAGGTTAAGTACTTAATTTGTTCCGGAGGTCCGTTCTTAACCTGAAACTGTTCTTAACCTCAAGCACCACTTTAGCTAATGGGGCCTCCCACTGCTGCCACGCTGCTGGAGCCCGATTTCTGTTATCATCCTGAAGCAAAGTTCTTAAACTGAAGCACTATTTCTGGGTTAGCGGAGTGTGTAACCTGAAGTGTATGTAACCTGAAGCGTATGTAACCTGAAGCGTATGTAACCTGAGGTACCACTGTAACACTATCCACATACAAGTGGTAGGTGTCAGCAGAGGAACCCCACAATTATATATAGGAATATAGGAAGCTGCCTTATACAGTGGTAGCAACAACAACAACAATTTATTATTTCTACCCTGCCCATCTGTCTGAGTTTCCCCAGCCACTCTGGGCGGCTGCCAATCGAGTGTTAAAAACAATACAGCATTAAGTATTAAAAACTTCCCTAAACAGGGCTGCCTTCAGATGTCTTATAAAAAATAGGATAGCTATTTATTTCCTTGACATCTGATGGGAGGGCATTCCACAGGGCCACTACCGAGAAGGTCCTCTGCCTGGTTCCCTGTAGCTTTGCTTCTCGTAGTGAAGGAACCGTCAGAAGTCCCTCGGCGCTGGATCTCAGTGTCCGGGGAGAACGATGGGGGTGGAGACACTCCTTCAGGTATACAGGACCGAGGCTGTTTAGGGCTTTAAAGGTCAACACCAACACTTTGAATTGTTCTCGGAAACGTACTGGGAGCCAGTGCAGATCTCTCAGGACTGGTGTTATATGGTCTTGGCGGCCACTCCCAGTCACCAGTCTAGCTGCCGCATTCTGAATTCATTGCAGTTTCCGGGTCACCTTCAAAGGTAGCCCCACACAGAGCGCATTGCAGTAGTCCAAGCAGGAGATAACTAGAGCATGCATGATTCTGGCAAGACAGTCCGCGGGCAGGTAGGGTCTTAGCCTGTGTACCAGATGGAGCTGGTAGACACCCGCCCTGGACACCTTGGTTGTCGAACTTAATCCGTTCTGGGAGTCAGTTCGACTCCCAGAACCGTTCGAAAACCAAGGCACGGCTTCAGATTGGCTGCAGGAGCTTCCTGCACTCAATCGGAAGCCACATCGGACGTTCAGCTTCCAAAAACGTTCGCAAACTGGAATACTTACTTCCAGGTTTGCGGCATTTGGGAGCCGATTTGTTTGGGAGCCAAGCTGTTCGAGAACCAAGGTACCACTGACTGAGTAAGACCATTGGTCCATCTGACTGGCATCAGCTTTCCAGGTATCTCCTAGCCCTACAAGGAGATGCTGGGGATTTAACCTGTCACCTTCTGTGTGCATAAGATGTGCTTCACCACTGAGCTTTCAAGAAGTGGAAGTTTGCAGATGTAGAAAATCCTTTATTGGGGGGGTGGATCTGAATAGAAAACTGCCCCCCCCCCCGAAAAAAAATACATTTCCGAGCACAATTCAAATTGTTGGTTCTGACCTTTAAAGCCCTAAACGGCCTCGGTCCTGTATACCTGAAGGAGCGTCTCCACCCCATCATCCAGCCCGGACACTGAGGTCCAGTGCCGAGGGCCTTCTGGCGGTTCCCTCATTGCGAGAAGTGAGGTTACAGGGAACCAGGCCGAGGGCCTTCTCGGTAGTGGCGCCCGCCCTGTGGAACGCCCTCCCATCAGATGTCAAGGAAATAAGCAGCTATCTTCTCTTTAAAAGACATCTGAAGGCAGCCCTGTTCAGGGAAGTTTTTAATATTTAATGCTGTATTGTTTTTAATACTCGATTGGGAGCCGCCCAGAGTGGCTGGGGAAAATCAGCCAGATGGGCGGGGTATAAATAATAAATTATTATTATTATAATATTAAATCGGAGGCGTATTGATTGTGCTCATTGGCTTCAGAATTCCGTCTTGACTATTGGGAGGGTGGATTGGAAAACCGAGGGCAAGGGAATGGAACGGCACATTCCAGAAAAGGGTACAGCCGTCCGGAAACCTGAACAGGAGCATTCCACGCTGTGGCATTTTGTTGCACATCCCACTTGGCCTGTTTAAAACTAATTGTGAAAGCTGCTCTGAAGTCACTTTTGAGTTCTCTCAATTCTGCTTCTAAACTAGTTCCCAGGGCCCCCTAACGGGTCTTGTCATTCCCTCTTCTTGGGGAGCCTTGGGAACTGAAATTCTGAAACGGGGCCTTGGGATCTTGAGCAGAGGATCCTAAACAATTCCCAGAATTGTTTGGAGGAAGCCTCTTCAGTAAACTAGAAACAGGTTGCAGGGCAAATATGCCCCCAATTATAGGTTGTAGGGCAGATTTGCCCTCAATTTATGTCCCAGCAATGTACAGATGTCTATTTCTCTTTTCTTGTGCTGAATCCTGGTGTGCTTTGCTGAAAGCTGTGCTTTTGTGATAGGATATTATCACATTTTTCTGAGCGGTATTTTGCACCAGGGAAAGCCCACTATTTCCCCCAGGTGGCCCGTTCATTCCTGCCGCGATTTCTTTGTGGAATGCAGTTGTGTGAGTGTCACAGAAACCTGCGGGATGTTTTTGTGATATAATTAGCGGCACTTAATACAGCTCTCCCTTTACACGCCAGTACCATTCTGCAAACCATTTAATGTGCCTTTCTTTCTTTCCTTTTTTATCATTGTTTCTTTAGCAGCTTTGAGGTTCCCTGCAGGACCAGATTTCTCATACAAGAGTTGTGCTTTTTCTAGAACCGATGAATAGCTAGGAAGAGACAGCAAAGCCCCTTCCATTGGCCTGATTTGACCCACTTGTATAATTTTCTGCGTTATCCTGAGGCTTTTGAGCAAAAAGAAGGCCGAGCCAGGATACAGGTCTGACGCTGGCAAGTGATGTCTCCAGACAAACACTGGATGCATGAAGCATCCTGGTAGGCCCAACAAATCTTACGTCGGGCTGGCAGCACCATTACTTCCAGTTGTCTGCTCTTGTTCCTGTTGTGGAATAGCCCACCGACCGCCTTATGAGCCATGTCTGCGATCAGTGTGAACTACATTTCCCAGGATTCCTTTGGGCGGAGGCCATGATTGTTCAAAGCTCTATGATACTGCTTCAAATGTATAATGCAGATGGGGCCACAGTTAAGAAATTCTCTCATCCAGTGATCTCAGAGTTGCCAGGAAGTCCCCTTCAGGCTTTGGACGTGTGGATAAGCAGGAAAATTTTCAGATTTCTCTTGAAAAGTCAATAAAGATTACGGCAGAAAGAGAAGGCATTCCACCTGTGAATCGTAAGGTCCAAGATGGTTGATACTGGGAGAGGTTCTCTTTTAGGTGCTTGGGTACAAAGCTATTTATGGCTTCATGTGCGACTACTTTCACGACATGGTCCCATCAGGCGTCCCCTCTTACCAGCCTAGCTGCCACAGTCTACTCAAGCTGCAGACCATTTTCAAGGGCGGCCCCACATACAGTGCACTACAGTAGTGAGGCAGGAGGTCACCAAAGCATGGACAATTGACCAGGCTATTATTTAGCCACATATCACCACCTATATTCTGTCTAGATGGGTGCTACTGTAGCATACCTATCAAAGGAGCAAACACTGTTTCTTCGGAGAATAACATTGCTGTACAGTGGTACCTCTGGTTGCAAACGGGATCTGTTCCAGAGGCCCATTCGCAACATGAAAAGAGCGCAACCCGCAGTGGCGCGTCTGCACATGCTCGGGTTGCAATTCGCCACTTCTGCACATGCGCGTGACGTCATTTTGCGTTTCTGTGCATGCGCGAGCGGCGAAACCTGGAAGTAACCCTTTCCGGTACTTCCGGGTCGCCACAGGACGTAACCTGAAAGAATGTAACATGAAGCGGACATAACATGAGGTATGACTGTACTTTCATATTGCTTAGCGTGCTATGTTCTCTAGGCAGCTCACAGCAGGTTAAAAACACAAGCAAATTTTACCAATAAAACGATCTGCCAACTTTATTTCAAAAGATGCGCGGCATAAATTTTGACCTCAGTTACTTGTGTGCAAACAACTAGCAGGGATTATCAGAAGAAGTTACTTATTTTGCTTCAGCAGCAGCAAAATGCCATCAGGCTGGCCCTAATGTTGGGCATTGTGAGGCCGTTGCCTCAGGCGGCTAATTTTGGGTGTCGTGAAAGAGCAACGTATTTTTTAGTTGTTTAATTTATTGCATTTTTAGGCACTTCAAAGGGGGAAAGATGGTTCTGAGATTTTCTGCTTCTGTCGAAATAATTTTGCTGGCCTTGGGTGCTCTGCAACTTGACTTGAGGCAGCAAAATGTCTTGGGTGGGCCCTGACAAATTATTGGCCTTTCATCCAATCTATCTGTCACAGAGCTAGGGAATCTGTGGCCCTCCAGAAATTGCTGACCTCGGCTCCTGACAGCCTCAGCCAGCATGACTGGTGGGATATGTAATCCGGCAACAGCCAAAGGACTACAGATTCCTCATTCCTGTTCCATTAAAAGCCGTTTTCTTTCATGTTTATGATACTTCAGGATGAGATGATCGATTGCGTTTAAAAATCTGAGATGACCTTTTACCCCCATTGTCCTAATTTTTGTTTTGGCTCCGTCATGGGCAATCTGGGAGATGCAGAATCTAAAATGTGTAGAGAGGTGATCTGCAGCTTCATGGAGCACAGCCAGAGAGAGGGGGAGAGAGACAGACAGACAGAAAACCCCCCACTAAGCCGTAGTTGAGACATCATAAACAGGGACTCTCAAGGTTATCGCCGAGTGAGCGATAAACAACTCTGGAATGCAGGGTCCGACGTTGAAATACGGCTCAGATGTGTGTGTCACTGAGGCCTTGGAAGAGGCTACGCTTAAAACTTTGCAAAGATTAACTACCCGGCCAATATTTATGCGTGCATGTGGCAGCAGACCTCCTTTCTTTTGCAGAGATGAAGCGATTGGGCAAAGATAGAGCACAAACATTAGTGCAAGTCAAGCGGGAGGGAAAGGAGAATTATGACACGTGACAGGCTCTGATTCTCACTTGGTTCCCCCGCGTGGCAAACTCCCCAAGCTTTCCTATTTTCCAGGGACAGTCCTGAATTTCCAGAAGCCATCCCGGTTTCTGATTTGATCCCAGAATGTCCTGCTTTTCCTTAGGACGTCCCTATTTTCACAGGAGAAATATTGGAGGGTATGGAGTCATGCGACCTGACCCCCCCCAAAAGGCTATCTGAAGGCAGCCCTGAACAGGGAAGTTTTTAAATGTTTTGCTATGTTTTTGTATATGTTGGAAGCCACCCAGAGTAGCTGGCATTTCTGTTATCTTGGTACAACTCTTACTTGTCATATCTCTCTGTATAAAAATGTTACGCGTTGAGCTGCACATAGTAACTCAGTAACTCATCATATATTTCTTTAAATAAACCATCTTATTATGAAAAATTCTTCGCTCCCAAGTCTCCATAAATCTGGACAAAAGGTTAATCCAATTGAAGCTACTGAAAGGTTAATCTCTTTGCAGTTCCTGATGGTCAGATGCAGATTTGTAAACACAAAGACTGCTAGGTTGAAACGCATCTGGCTATTGGAATCAGTACTCATCATGTTTTAAAATCTTGTTATCCTAAACATCTAACCCGTGTTGTTTTTAAACATTTTAAGTTTATGTGACAATTGAACTCAGAATTCAACATTTATGTGTTATTTTGTAATGTACATTGTTGTTCCTGACATTTCATATTGGTTCTTAATGTTGCTTTTGACAGGAATTATTTCCCGTTTTTGCTTTGGGGAACCAAAATTCAGAAACTGAGCCAGGAATGCACTCACATTTTTAATAGTTCAGTTATCTGGAATAAGCAGAAGACATGGGCATCCCACAGAAAGTGGCAACGCTTTTCCCAGACCACTTTCAGCTCCCTTAAAAACGACTGACTGTCTCTAGCCTTGGAGTCAAATGTGATATCACTGAGTTAGGGGGTGCTGAAAGGTTGTCTAGTAGTCCAGTCCCCTACTTGAAATTTCATAAAATTGACTACTACAGCAGCTCTTATAGGTAGTCATTCCTCAGCTGACTGACACTTATAGTGAGCCCCACAGGAATTGACTACACACTGGTGTCCCAAGCTGAGAACGCCATAGTGCAGCTGATCTCTGCCCAAAGTGGGGCATGCTGTGTCAATTTTCTGATCCGCATTTACAACAAGCCACACAGGAAAACACTTCATTTGATTTGTGGTGCTGCCTATCAACTGATCAAAACAGCCGCTATCAATTCAAGATATTCTGAATTCAGAATATCTTGAATTGGCCAAACTTACAGGTTTAATAAGAAAACATTCTAATGAGAAAATAAGGAGAGAGTGGGAAGTCTTTATAAATTATATGAAGAGAACCGATTCCCAGATTCATACTTAGCTTAGAATAAAAATCGCACAGGTAATTAGAATAATTCTCCAAAAATTTAATCATTACTGACAGCCAGTGATATGAGGAATAAAGATCCACATGGAGTTAGTTGGAAGTCAATTTCTTTTTTTCCTTTTTTCTTCTTTTTTCTTCTTTTTTTGGTGTTGTTTTTGTTCTTTTTCCGGAGAATATAATGTTTTGCATTTTTTATTGCAAATTAGGTTATTATGTTTACATCCTTGTACAGTGGTACCTCGGGTTACATACGCTTCAGGTTACAGACTCCGTTAACCCAGAAATAGTACCTCGGGTTAAGAACTTTGCTTCAGGATGAGAACAGAAATCGTGCTGCGGCAGCGGGAGTCCCCATTAGCTAAAGTGGTGCTTCAGGTTAAGAACAGTTTCAGATTAAGAACAGACCTCCGGAACGAATTAAGTACCGTATTTTCCCCTCTATAACACGCAGATTTTTTTCTCCTAAAAAGTAAGGGGAAATGTCTATGCGTGTTATTGAGCGAATGTGTGGTCCCTGGAGCCGACTGGCCCGAGTGCATCACACATTTTCTTCGAGGGTCGTCTTCCTTGCGGTCAGCAGAAGCCAGGGAAGTGCTTGCTAGGAGGTTTGGCCACTCTGCAGCGCGACTGTGTGTTTGCTAGTGTGTGTGCTTTGTGAGTGTGTGGTTGCCTGTGTGTGTGTTTGTTTGCTAGCGTGGGTGCTTGGAGAGAGTGAGAGAGTGATTGACTGCTGCATCTTCTCCCGCAATTTGCCTTTTATAAATTGGAAGCAGCAGGGCAGTAAAAAGCACCTCCGAAAGCCCCATTTTTCCCTTCTAAGGCTGCAGCTCGGCTTTGGGACCCCTGAACCCCTGCCTTGTTCTTGAGGGATCTTTGAGGTTTTCCCTTTAGCTTTAACCCAGCCCCCTTATTTTACCAGTTTATCTTCATTCTCGGTGTGGTAAACTGATTGCAGGCAGCCACACGTGCGTTTGAGCCTCCCGAGAGAGAAAGCTGTTGCTTTCCTGCATTCTGCCTCAGGGTCTTACTGCCCACCCTCTTCTGTTTCGTTACTGTGTTTGCTCAAACGGAACAAAGAGCAGAGAAAACCCCTCCCCTCCAGGCAAGCAGAGGGGAAAGCAGAGCGTCCTTCCTTCTAATTCCTCTCCGTGCTCCGGTGCTGCTGCTGCTGCGTCTAGGGACTCGCAGGCAACATGCAGGTGGGGGGAGAGAGGGAGAGAGCTAGCTGGCTGGCTGGCTGGCTGGCTTGGGTGGGTGGGTGGGGGAACTTTTGCCTTCCTTTCCTCCCTCCGGTAAAACCCCTCTCCTGCATTCTTAGCCAGCTGCTTCTCCGCACACCCCTCTCGGTGCTCCTTGTCCCTTCTATGTTTTTCCTTCCCTCCCCACTTAAAATGTGGTTACAAAGCACGGATCCACATGGATCCTCAGGATCTTTGCATTGGGTCACCCCAAATTCACCATCAGATCACATAGCATGTCCATGGCTACAGCCTGCACCAAAAAAATCACGCACCCACTGTTGCCTGGGGCTGCAATGGTGCAAAAACGTGGTTACAAAGCATGGATCCACATGGATTCTCAGGATTTTTGCATTGGGCTACCCCAAACTCACCGTCAAATCACATGTCTGTGGCCACAGCATGAAGCACAAAAATGATACATCCACTGTTTCATTCAGAATTTTTTTTCTTGTTTTCCTCCTCTAAAAACGATGTGCGTGTTATGGTCAGGTGCGTGTTATCGAGCGAAAAATACGGTACTTAACCTGAGGTACCACTGTAATTTTGTTTTTGCATTTTCATCTGTTTTGTATTTTTTGTTCGTTTTATTCAATGCTTGTGTGTGGTGTACAAGTACCGTATTTTTCAATCTATAAGACGCACCAGACCACAAGACGCGCCTAGTTTTTGGAGGAGGAAAACAAGAAAAAAAATATTCTGAATCTCAGAAGCCAGAACAGCAAGAGGGATCGCTGCGCAGTGAAAGCAGCAATCACTCTTGCTGTTCTGGCTTCTGGGATAGCTGCGCAGCCTGCATTTGCTCCATAAGACGCACACACATTTCCCCTTACTTTTTAGGAGGGAAAAAGTGAGTCTTATAGAGCAAAAAATACGGTATATAGATTTTTTAAAAAAATTAAAAACAAAAAACAGCCGCTATCAAACTGCATGGGCCAAGGAGCACAGAGAGAAATTATGGTGACATCAGATGATCAGTAGGAAGGTGGCCCAGGTCCCACCTGTCAACATAACTCTCAGGGTTTGGGAGAGGTCCACCGTCCAAGACATTTTGGCACCTGAGGCAAACCACAAAATGGCACCTGCCCCCTCCGCTATGATAGAGTGAAGATCTACATCGGGGGGAGGAAAACAGCAGCACCTCTTATTCACCAGGAGGCCTCTGTAGAGGTGGCACGTGGGCACTGGGGCTGCTGAAGAGCAGACAAATCCAACTTTCTAGGATGCACCATGGCTGTTGTTGCCACTGCAGCAGCGGGCAATCGCATTCCTTGGTGACTTGATCTCCTGCCCCTGTGGATTCTGCTACCTGAAGCGGTCGCCTCACCTTGCCTCATGCGTGGGCTGGCCTTGCGTGCAAGAGCTCTTTGTTTCCAGAGTAGATACACATAACAAGCTCTGGCTCAGGGCGGAGCTTTATTACTTTGTTGTCAAAATAATTAGTTTGAGGAATTAAGAATAACTACAGGCAGAGATTGGGGTATGTGTCAGTTTTTTCAAAAAGCCGGCATTCCTACGGAAACGATGGGAAACTGTGACTTTAAGCAACATCTGGCATATAATATATAATTGCAATGCCTTTGAGATACATGCAAGGGGGGGGAAAGAAGTGTTTTACCCTTCCCCCTCTTCATGATTTAAAACAACAACAAACATATTTGTACTGAGATCACCTTCTGGGCATCCTGCTTTTAGAATTTAGGTGATGTGTGCCAGCTCCACTGTGCAGTTGTGTGGTACAATGCGTCTCATACGAAGATGCTCTTAATTTTGCAGAGACAGCAGCAATCCGTGAATCCTGTTTGCTGTGCTAGTAGTTCCTGCAGCTGTTTGGCCATCGGGTCGCGAATGAGAGCTTGACGCTGCAGCTTGAAGCTTGATATTTATTTTATTTTGTGTGTGTTTTGATTCCTTCCCCCCCAAAAAATAATAATTGGGGTTTGGATTTTGGGGGGGAAGGAGAGAAAATATCCTTCCAGTCTACCCCCCTCAGACTTTCTGCTGACCATTTCTCAAGCCTTTTGTCTCAGGCACAAGTGGACTTTTATCCTATGAGACAGGGTCACTGTCCACCATCGGCAAATGATGTGATGTTATTTGATACCCGGCTCTGTTCCAGCCCCACCGCTGTAATCCACCCGCTATTTTCAGTATGAAAACCGTTCACTTCTCAACTTGTTATGTAGTCAGAAATGGTTAAAGCCTATTTCTTTTTAGCAGTCAGAGGGCAACCAAAATAGCCATTAAGAAAAGCTATCTTTGTCGTATTTTGGTTTTTGTTTTAAAAAAGCTTAATTATACTTTGAATCTAAATAGTGTCCTTCGACCGTTCAGAGCAATTGCACTCAGTAATACAACGGCTCTGCAAGGGTGGGCAATGTTATCCTCACATGTTGTTTTATGACTGCCGCATTCCTTCTGTCACGGAACTCAAAGTGGCGTGCATGGGTTCCCAGGTGGTAGACTGTTCCTGAACATGGAGGTTTCAGTTGTTTGGATCTAGTGGAGGGGATGGTTATTGTTGTTGGCATCTGACTGTCTCGAAAGTCAATAGAGTGCACATCTGGGGGCCAGTGTTTGAAATTCCCCAGGCACCAGGTGCGTTTCACAACTGGCACGGGTCCAGTCACAACTACATGGAGATATCCGGAGCAACCGCAGTTAAAAAAAACTTCTGCCTTAGTCCATAGTTAATTCCATTTCCATTGTGTGTGTGCTTCTCTTTCTTGCATACTGGGACAAAGGAATTGTAAGCGCAAGCCGCAGTCAAGCAATGTAGTTGAGATCATAGCTCTGGAGAGGGACCCGGGGTCATCTAGTCCAACCCCTTGGCAAATAGGCATTCCTTTGTGGCAACCATAACCTTGGAGCTTAAGGTGCCATATTTGAGTTTCTAACACTGCCAGGGACTAAGTCAGACTGCCGGAGAATCACAGCGCCTGCTGTGGCTGCAGAGATCGGTAACTCGTAACTGCTGCCTCCCTCGTTGTTTTTGCTGTGTCAGCAGCACCAAAATGACTTCCCCATGGCACAAGCCTGGGGTTTCCTGCCCCCCTCCCCACATTTCAACCTTACTGATATGGTCCAAAGGGAAGCAGAGCAAGACGTTTGGCACCAGCTTGATTGCAGTACAGTGGTACTTCAGATTAAGTACTTAATTCGTTCTGGAGGTCCGTACTTAACCTGAAACTGTTCTTAACCTGAAGCACCACTTTAGCTAATGGAGCCTCCCGCTGCCACCACGCCGCCGGAGCACGATTTCTGTTCTTATCCTGAAGCAAAGTTCTTAACCTGAAGCACTATTTCTGGGTTAGCAGAGTCTGTAACCTGAAGCATATGTAACCTGAGGTACCACTGTAGTTGCCTGGAGCAGAGGCTTAAAAGGCTCATAGAACTGTAGAGTTGCAAGGGACTCAATGGTCATCTATTCCAACCCCCTGCAATGCAGGAAACTCGACGGATCTATCTAGATCAGTATTGCCCACTCTGACTGGCAGTGGCTCTTCAAGGTTTCCAGCTGTATCTGGAGACACCAAGTATTGAACTTGGAACCTCCTGCATGCAAAGCAGGAGCCCTGACCTTCCCCGTGACATGAGAGGATATTTGCCATTACTGTTCTTTTCTGTGACTTCTGGATACGTAAAACAATGAACATTTGGAGAAAGGAGGCCTTCTCTTTCCACTTTAGGCCGTTGTCAAGCTTTTATTTATAAACTTTGATTTCATAACCTTCTGGGGGCGGGGGGAGAAGCCAGCCCTCTTAAATCCTGAGGGTTTACGGGGGGTTATTTATTGTTTAGTGACTGACCATTTTTTGCTAGCGAACAACTCTGGTGGAGAATTGCATAGCTTGGACTTTTCAAATTGCTAGATTGCATTTGGCTGAACTGATCCTTATCTGCCAAGGTTACATTTGGCTTCAGGGAAACTGCTTTGGCATCTCAGCCTCACGCATCTTTGAAGGAGAACTTTGACCCCAGCTTGGTTTCACCATTTACATTTGTTTAGAAAGGCCCATATCAAATCAGAAACAGCCTCTACTACTGCTTATTGTTGTCGTTCACGTACCACTTAAGAAAAATTACATTTATTGTGATGGACTGTGTGACATCTCTGTGAGGCAGTGCACAAGCGGAATATTGTGGAAATTACAAGAGCGCTGAAATTCTTCAGAATGTGCATTGCATATGTTAAGAAACAGCCGTGTGAATAAATGAAGTTTTGCTCTGTTGGTTCCTTGAGCCAAATAATGTTTACTCCAGCATTCCTTATCCTGGTGCTTTTCAGAATTTTTTGGACTACAGTGCTCTTCATTCCCGACCATTGGCCATGATGAAAAGGACCGATGGGAGCTGGATTCCAAAACATCTGAAGGGCACCAGGTTGGCTAAGACTGGTCTACTCAGCTATTGAAATTTTACCAGGGCCTCAGGCAGAGATATTTTCCATCCTCTGCTACTTGATGCCATTAACTGGGGATGCTGAGGAAAGCATGTGCTCCCACACTGAGCTACAGACTTTCCTCTAAAAAAATATTTGGAAAATATACTGGAGCCTACCTTATACCAGTTCAGACCAAGGCCACGTTTGCAGCCTTCTCAATAGTGGCCTTCTTGGTAGTGGCGCCCGCCCTGTGGAACGCCCTCCCTTTAGATGTGAAGGAAATAAGCAACTATCCTATCTTTAAAAGACATCTGAAGGCAGCCCTGTTTAGGGAAGTGTTTAATATTTAATGCTTTATTATTTTTAACACTCGATTGGGAGCCGCCCAGAGTGGCTGGGGAAACTCAGCCAGATGGGTGGGGTATAAATAATAAATTATTATTAATATTATTATTATTGCAACCTACATTTAAAGCACCATGATGCATACCACTAGACAGGCATGGTTTCCCCACT